CATGTCTCTCCAGTTTCGAGAGAGACAGTTTCGAGAGAGACATGTATTTTCAGTTTCTATATGTTAGAAATGTTAAGTGTCAGGATAAAACTTGCGCTGGCAAACCACTGCACTCATGGGGTATGTTCCAGTTGCCTGGAGGGTGGCAGTCCGGGTTGTCATCTGCAAACTTCTACTCAGCTGTAATTTATTTTAGTAAAAAAAAAAAAAGGTCTCTTGGTCACTTCTGATTTATTGGTATATTTATTTGCTGGTTTAGAACTAAAGAAAAGCAACCCAAAAATCTCCTTAAAATGTCAACCCATTACTTGCTGCAGGCTTCATTTTTAAATAACAGAGTGCAGCCCAAGTGCTCACTGCTTGGGAATTTGAACCTTTTGTCTCTGACTGCGTGCCGGCTGTTGGAATGGGACGGGACACCGGAGGCACAGCAGGGAGCTGCGGTGAGCAGTCGGAGCTCCCTGTCCTGAACGGTGACCAAACACGTGACGCCTTTGAAGCAGTTGGGTGTTATATGCAGTAAAAATCTCCTCCCTGACAAAAAGGTTCTATTTTCTAGCAGAGCACTGTCCTGTTGCTGACACTTGTTCATGGCTTTTGGAAGTCGGCATGACGGGCTCCTTGCACGCTGAGGGGTTCTCTATGATTGTGGCCAGCTGAATGTCACCTGGATGCTTTTCCTCCGTGTCCTGCAACAGTGGGCTCTGCCTGCTGAGCTCCTCCGAGGCGTACGCTGTGCTTTTGGTCCACAACTTCCCGTGCTCTTGTTCCGGGGGGCCGTTTTGCCCTCGCAAACGCTGGCGTCTCCCGCGGCACAGGAGGTGCAGGCAGCCGTAGAGGAGGACTGCGGCGATGATGAGGAGCAGGACGCTGCTGGCGAGCCAGATGCCCAGCGCCAGCTCTTTCTTGGCGTTGTTCGCAGATGCTGGGTCTGGTTCCAGCGTGTTAAACACCCTGCACTGGTCAGCGGAGGGTTTTGCGGACTGGCAGGTCACGCACACGATATACGTTGTCAGCGGAGTGAGGTTTTCGACAACAAAGGAGGAGCGACTGGTGGGCACCCTCTCTTCTTTCTGGAAGCTCTTTCTCGAGTAACTCGATAGCATGCTGTTCCAGTTAGGGTGGTACATGACGCTGTAAAAGCTGTCGGCACAACTGGCCATTTTTGGCCAGATTACCATGGCCGTGCTTCCCGTGATGTTTTGGACGGTTATTCCCATCGGGATGTTGTGTAGGTAGGTGTTTTTTTTCCTCTTCCAATGCTGATCTCGCTGTGGCACAAGGGGAGATGTTTGTTTCCCCAGGAGGTAACTGAGAAGTTGCAGCACTGGAGGTGTCGTGTGGATCTTAATCGTAGCACTCTGGAATTTAAAAAAGGAGCTTATTAGGTAACTATGCTCTTACCATTGGTACTGCGGCCTCAAAGTGAGAGTCGGCAGGTGGTGAGGTTTGGAGCACTTTACACTGTGTACTTTTTTCCTGGTGATGTATGTGCTTACAGAAATTCAACGGAGCTGCTGCCTGTCCAGGTGATCAGTTGTACCTTGTCTCTGTGAGAGATGGTTTTGCAGCAGTTGCGATTGGGGAACCGCTTCGGTTCACAGTTGTTTGGGTTTTTTTCAGATGACTCTGCTCGTAAGGGGGAACGAGGGGATGCTGGCCCTCAGCATCCCGTTCAGAATTCACCTCTGTGTCAGCTCTGGTATACACGCTGCGTACGTCTTTGGGATGGTCCCTAGAATAAGAAGGTCACTGGATATTTTTGTCTTAAGGAACTTGTGGTTAGATAACATTAAGGGAAACACAACCTCTTCAAGACTATAAAGAGGGAGAGGTGAACATATACACTCCCGTATATATTTCAGAAGTACGAAGCAGAAGTTTAAACAGATGCATTAAAAAATGCCTCTCTCCTTTGGAAAAATGCTGAAGTATTCTTTTTAATAGAACAAACATTTCCAATAGGGGGAAAAAAAGCATAATATTTAACAATTTTATGTTATGAGTCAAACTTGTGGGAAAAAGTCATTGAAACCTAAACTGATCTGCTGTCTGTTTTGGCATTAAACTACTAGAGCCTGACAGATTGACCATCCAACTAATCAACTCTTTACCTGTCACACAAAATACTTGCCTAATGAGTGTATTGATAAGTGAGGTTTGGATTAGTTTGGGGTTTTTTTAAAGGAAAAAAAGGCAGCATTTACTTTTCTCTCTAGTCTGAGTATCTTGCATTTTATTTTACTTATCTGATGTTTTCCCTAATCTCAAAGCTTGTATTTTGCGAGCAGGGCATTTTCTTACTTTAAGTGACAAGGGGAGGGGTGGCAGGGGTGGATCTTGAGGGATAAATTCCTCTGGCCATCCACAAGTCTTAATTTTTGCCCGTCACAGTCAATTGAAATAACAAAACAGTACGTGGAAACATCACCTGCTATTATTTTGTCTCTGGTATCATTTTACATTAGTTTCTTACAGATACTCTATGGATTTCTGCTGGTGAGCTAGCACGTCTGCAGCCACCAATAGAGCAGTGGCTGTGATTGTTGTACACTGGTGGCATCACTACCGCAATATTTAGTCTTGATGCTAGTGACCTCTTGGAAAAGCTTTCCCCAGCTCGGCTTAGTTGGTAAAGTACAGCTTTCACTGTAGCCTTCCCTTCTGGACAGACAGACAAATCCTCCTTGTAATAATATTAACTTTAGAAAACCTGCCAGTATTTTGAGATTCTGAGCTTGTGTTGGCACTGTACGTAGTGTAAGGAAAATATCTGTTTTCTGCAATCCTCTAAATGCAGAAAGAATATCTTCTCTTTAGAACAAAAAGTTGGCTTCTGTCTTAGTAGACTTCTAATTAAAATTGTTATTTTATAGGGAAAAAAAAAAAACCCAAAGCTTAATAACAACCAGTGGATATTTTTGTTTTCTGGGTAGGCTTTTTTTATTTTACAGTTGTGAGGGTGCCTTTTCCAAAAGCTCCTACCTCAGCAATTTCATCTAATTCTCTTGTAGTTTAATACTCAGTTTCTGGTCACGTTCCTGTGAAAGTTGTTTCCCGCTGTGAAACTTTCTTGCTTTTTTTTAATGTACATCAATGCCCATGGCAGTAACACTGTGTTCCATTGACTTCATTATAAAAATGTATTTTCTTTTTTTTTTTTATGATCAGGTTCCAGGTGTGAATTCTCCTGACTAAGTAACAACATAGTTTTGAAAATCTTCCTGATTAAGAAAGCTCATAACGTGTGCTCGTAACACATTCTGAGACTATTCTGTGATACTTTTATTGTGTTTTACACTAGACAGGAGGCTGGCAAAATACCCATTATTTTAGTTGGACCTTGATTGTTAAATTGCATTAGTAGTAAGAATTGAGTGAGTTTTCATGTATGAAAATTGTTGCTCGAGGCGTTTGGATTGTACTTACTGGGAAGTGGGAAGAAAAAAAGATATCTTTGATTTCATTACAATGTAAAACCTTAGATGTGACTGATCTGGGTAGATGCTGCCTTTCGAATTGTATGGTAAGTGCCCCCTTTTTGATACAGCAACCATCTAAAGGAATTGAGTTTGCTATCAAATAAACTTATCAGACACATTTTGGCATCTACCCAACTTCTGCAGATATTCAAATGGAGGGGCATTAGTAAAATCAGAGCTTTTAACTGCTTATGTATCTTCTCTTTAGCTGGTAGATCTCAATTAATTAAAATTATAATTTATTTTTATAGAACAGTTCCTAACAGTCTAGATATAATAGTTTTATCCTCACAGCTTTTAGTGAATTGAATGTTTGGCTTTTACTTAAACAACAATCATACTGTTTTTCAATTATTACAAAACATCAATTATTAGAAGTTATACAATAGCTGGCATGTAAATGTGTGGAAAAAACATTCTGATGTTTTATAGACTCAAGTCAGTACTTACTGTCACTTCCTGACGGAATTTTCAGGTGGTGATGCCGCTGCTGAAATGACATAAATGCTGAATTTTCTGTATCCTCTTTCACATGAGTGTTTTTTCCTGCCTGATCTCTGCTTGCCAGTTTGCTTTTTCTTTCACTCAGACTCCTTGGACCGACTTCTCATTGCTTGGCGCTTTCAGCTGCTCGCTCCGATGCTGCTGGTGGCATGGTTTCCTTGTCTCTCCCATTTCCATTCATGCAAGAGCACATCTTGTCGGAAGGTGGTATTGCCTTGCTTTTCAGAAAACATGCAGGAGAAAAAAAGAGTGCCTTTTCCTCCCGTCTCTTGCTTGCCTCCCCTTGGACAGCGTACTGCCTGAACATCCCTGCTACATGCTCTTGTGCGCGTGCCAATGATGCTGGGAGTGATTAATGTTAGCAGTTTGATGACATCAGCAACTAGCAACTCTCTCTCCTTTTTTTATTTAATTTAAATAGGGGGAGGGAGCAAGCATAGCTTAAAAAAAAAAAAAAAAAAAAACAACAGCTCCCTCTCTCTCTCCTCCCTTTCCTCCCTCCCTAACTTTGTTACAGGCTCCTTCCCTAAGCATGTTATGCTTCTGTGCATCATGGGGGGGAGTGGCGGTGGCACGTGGTGCTGTTTTCTGAATCCCTGGACACCATTTATCAAGCTCTGCTAACCCAGCATTTACAGGTGGACCGTTTTAGGTCCTTCCCCTTGAGGGTTACATTAAAGAGAGACGTGTTTTTAGACTGGGTCGGCTTTTTATTGTTATGTATTGGCGAGGTTTTTAAATACTGAAATCGTGTTTTTAGGGCTTGCTTTTCCATGAGAAGTTTCTGCTGTGTGGAGTTCCTTCCCTCTTTTTACAAGAGTCTGTAGTGATAGGACAAGGGGTAATGGGTATAAATTGAAATCAGGGAGGTTTAGATTAGATATCAGGAAGAAATTCTTCACAGAGAGGGTAGTGAGGCACTGGAACAGGTTGCCCAGAGAAGCTGTGGATGCCCCATCCCTGGAAGTGTTCAAGGCCAGGCTGGACGAGGCTTTGAGCAACCTGGTCTAGTGGAAGGTGTCCCTGCCCATGGCAGGGGGGGTGGAACTAGATGGTCTTTAAGGTCCCTTCCACCCCAAACCATTCTATGATTCTATGATTCCCCTTAACCTCGCAGCAGTAAAATGCTTTAACCGGCTTGAGTGGAATTCTCCTCATGCTACAGCCAGAAGAGAGATAGTTCAGACACATTTATTGTGGAGACCTGCCTCATTGGAACCCTCACAAGCAAAAGATGGGATCTCACCTTTTAGGGACAATTGTATAAATGTCAAGTTTATGGGGACATTCACCTGCACATGTTTTCTTAAGGTTTTCCCAGTTGTCTCCCTTGTCGATGCTTACAGAAAAGAGGTCAGAGGCAGAGTGCTATGCCAATGCACACGTTTTTTTTGGGGGCGCAGCTTTAAGCTGTCCACCCAGTGGGGTGCGTTTGGGGTTTAGCCTTCTAGCTAGCTCTGCTCTTAATAGCAGGACTGCGTCGTGCATTAGGGGTCTAGTAATTACCCAAGTGTCTGTTTTGGTTTGTGTTCACAGAATAGTTGGAGTGTTTGGAAATAGCCCCCCTCCACAAAATCAAGGTCCTTAGAAGAGACCTTCCCAGCTGGGGGTGGGGACCCTCCAGAGCAGGGTGACCTGCAGTATGTTGCTCAGGGACGTGTCCGCTCGGGTCTCGAACATCTCGGAGCACAGAGACTCCTGAGCACTCAGTTTGACCACCCTCACAGTAGTGAAGCTTTTCTGGTGTTTAAAGGGGATGTCCTGTTTGTCCCCATCCCCCCTTGTCCTGTCTGTGGGCACTGCTGAGCAGAGTTGGCTCTGTCATCTTTATGCCCCTGAGCAGTTACTGATGCACGTGGATGGGATGCCCCTGAGCCGCCTTTTCTCCAGGCTGAACAGTCCCAGCTCTTCCAGCCTTTCTTCATAGGAAAGATGTTCCAGTCCCTTGTCATCTTTGGGGCCCACTTCTGGACTCTCCCATACATCTCTGGGGAGACTGGGGAGCCCATCCCTGGATCCACTACTCCAGGTGTGCCTCGCCCCTGCTGAGTAGAGGGGACGGATCACTTCCCCTGAGGAGCTGGCAGCGCTCTGCCTGAGGCAGCCTCGCTGGCCGTTGGCTGCCTGGGCCGCGAGGGCCTACTGCTGGCTCGTGCTTAGCTGCTTGTTCACTGGGACCCTCGAGGTAAGAAAAGCACCGCCCTCCACCTTCTGAAGGTGAAGCTGTCTTGCTGTATAGTTTCTTCACACAGATGGAGACAGAAGTGCAAGCACGTAGAAATGTAACTAAACCTTTAAGGTGGTTTCAGTACCAGCCACTTCTTCCATTTTCCCATTGCAGAGGTGTATTGCTGGTTATAACTTTCTGTGATTGTGGAAAAATCTATGTAACTTTCTCCGTGTGTGTGACCTAAAAAACACCTGTAAAGTTTCTCACTTAGGTCAGGAGTTGCTTGATTCAGAAAGCTGGGTTTGGATCTCTCGTTCTCCTTTGTTATGACCTAGATGGTCTCTTCTGGGCCTGGGCTTTCGTGTGTTTCTTTCATAATGCAAGAATTTTTGACCCATGAGGGTTTGTGAAGTACACCTGAGGCATCCACACAAGGTGGCCAAGGAGCGTTAACCTGTTGCCAGATTTGCATTTGCCATGTGTCAGTCTAGAATCCAGTTTTTAAATTTCTGAGGCCATAGTTCAAAACATGTTGGAAACTGGTGTTTATATAGAAAAGATGTATAGCTGCTAGCCCGATCTCTTCTAAAGATGATTTGTAAGTCCTTTTCAGGACTTAATCCTTCAGGAGCTTGGAAGAGTTTCATGACTTGAATTCCTAGTAGTTTCTTTGTGCAGTGCCACGTATGACAATATCTGGTATTGACGTGCAGGATCTGCGTTGAAGGGAAGGTCACTGTTCTTCCTGGATGCTGGTGAAGGAAAAATTTCTGTCACAGCTGATATGTGTGGAGTTGGGAGCCTAAGAGTTTGGTTTCTTTCATGCATGTTAGAGAGAATGGAAACTGCAGAAAAGGAAATAAAACAGAACCTTCTGCAGGAAAGGTCGACAAGATTCCCTTTAAAATTACATTTCAGGATATTAGAAGAACAACCCACTTACAGAAGCGGAGGATGTTGAGTTAGCTAACCCCGCTCTGATCCATGGCTTCACAAGCAGTTCATAAATCCCTACGCAGCATCAGTCTGTACAGTTGTGTTCGCTTTGAAGAAAGTCATTAATATGGCAAAGCACCTGATCCTATTTATACAACTCTGGAGTAATTTCCATGAGGTTACATCCCAGACTTGGATTTGCTTTGATCTTGTGTACAGCAAAGGGATCAGAAAAGAGAGCTCCCTATTAACTAGTTGCAGAGATCAGTACCTGTGGAAGGCTGGGTTGGGGGTTTTTTGTGTGGCCAAGTCCTCAGAGACTTAAAACACCTATTGTGAACTGAAAATGGAAGTAACTTCTTTCAAGATGTTCTGTACATAAAGTGGATGACAGAGGAATAGAAGCTGTGCTTTAAATTCAGGGATCTGAGCTTTGGCCTTGAATACTCTTGTTCTTTTATACCTGTGTGAATAGAGGAAGATGTCTGGTGGCAAAAAAAGGGGGGCATTTACATGTTTTTCTTGCTAATACAGAGATCTTGGTTGGGGTTCCTGCCTTACAAAAGGGAAGCTTTGTGTTTTAAGTTCGTGGACAGAGAGTCAGATACGAAGTTTATTTTTCATGTGCTTTACAGTGCTATTTAAATGAGATTGCTACGAAGATGCAGCATGTCTGTGTTGTCGTTAATCCTATCTGTTCTCTTGTTTCAGGCGTTGAATCTGGCATATTCCAGCATCTACAGCAACTACAGGAATTTTGTTGGTCCCCCTCACTTTAAAGTCATCTGTAGACTTCTTGGGTATCAGGGCATTGCTGTCGTGATGGAAGAGTTGCTGAAAGTTGTCAAGAGCCTGGTATGCCGATGGTCTTTCATTTTCCGCTATTCCAAACGGCTTCTGCTTGAGAGTACTCGGTGTCTTGTGAAAGCGGTAGAAGATGAGCATTGGTAGCCTCAGCATTGTGTTGAAAACCTTGGATTCTGCACTGGAGATTAAATTAATTTGTGGAGACCTGTGCTCTTAAGTCCTGGGTAAACTCTGGAAAAGTACAAATGTTTCAAATTGCTTGATTTCTCCTTAAAGAGTGTACTGTAGATTCCCTTTCTCCATATTTTTTGAGAACAGCTGGAGAGTGCTTTCATTAATAACATCATTGACAGATGATGCCTTAATAATGAGGAAGCTTTAATCCCTGGCTTCATCTAGCAATGGATAGCACCAAGCCTATTTACAGGAGCGCTCAGACCAGATGTTGTGGAAGTTATCCGCACAGCCTGTGTATCTCGCGTGGGAAGTGGTCTTTTCCCTAAGTAAGGGGATGCCGAGGGGCTGGCCGTTCGCTGTGTTACTGGTGCCTGCGTATGCAGTCCTGATGCACTGCAGTTAGGTGTCAGCTAAAGAACGGTCTTTTCCTCCCTGTTGCCTGTGAGGAGCATGCTGCCAAAATAAACCGACTGTACCAGGGGGATGATAGCTGTAGTATTCATAGTCTCCCTTCAGACACCTGACACATTCAGCACTTTGTTGCCTATAATTCCCACAGTGTTCTCGGTACATTTTTGGTGTCCCAGAAAGGCTGAAGCCTGCTTGAAGGGGTCATGTGGCCTAATCTTCAGGCAAAGAGGAAAACAGGAATGTTTCTTGTGTTTTGGGGTCGAGTGTTGCTGCTTTGGATTTTGGGGAGACTTTTAAAAATTATGCAATTAGGTGGTAAATTGTCTCAGTTCACTAAAGGTGACATTGAACGCTTGGGCATTTGTAAAGGAAGTTGAAAGGCCTTGGGAGGGTGTATCCTGCTGGTGCCCGATGCAGCTGCTCAGATGTAGGGAGACAGATAGGAGAGGGGGGCCTGGTAGGAGGAAGGAAGACCGGCTGTCAGCTGTGCCTTAACTGGTATGTCGGGAACAGCCAGTTTGAGCTGTTATCCAACTAAGGATTTTTCTCTCCTCGCTTTTGACAATGTTCTGTGGTACTTGGTTGCTCAATGGGGCTAAACCAGGGCACATTCAAATGCAACTTTTTAACCAAGAATCTAGAAGTTGCTTAGACAACTCTGCCAGAGAAGAGCATGATTTCCTCTTTGTTTTTTACCTTCCCGGCCTTAGCTGCTGTGCCACCATTCCTTGTAGCACAGGGTGAGTAAGGCCATGTGAAGGAAAGCGCAGCTGTATTCATTTGAAAAAGCTGCTTTTTTTGAATTTGACGGCTGACAGAATTAAATGCAGGGTTTTTGGAGCTTGTTCGATTTGTGCGTCACTTGAATGCAGTTTTTTGTTTCTCAGTTCAGTAACACGGACGTCTCCACGCACATCTGTTTTCTCTTAGTTGCAAGGGACGATTCTTCAGTATGTCAAGACCCTAATGGAAGTGATGCCCAAGATCTGCAGGTTACCAAGACACGAGTATGGTTCTCCAGGTTAGTGCATGTGCGCTCTTACCATAGCGGCCTTAATAAGGTGGTACTAATCCCTCTCTTCTCTCTCCCAGTAATCCACACTTAGTCTGTTTTGGGTTTGGTGGTTTGTTTTTTTTTTTCCCCACAAGAAGAATCACTGAATGCTGGGCTTTCTGAAAGTACTTCATGAAGTTTTAAGAACGCAGTTCTTAAAGACAGTTTTATGTGCCCTCTGTGCTTAGGGCAGCTAAAAGGATGGCAGTGTATGTAGACAACCTTATGACATAATTGATCTTGAGCTGGGGCATTCACAAGAGTTTCTTGTTTCTAGTCTCTCATAAGCGTATTGAGCTTCTCCCCCTGCAAGTTAACCTCTCACCCTTGTTCTGTTTAAATGTCTGATTTAGATAACCCTGACTGTCTGGAAAAGCCTTGATTCCCTCTTCCTTTGCTCTTATCAGATGTAAGGTAAAGGGAGAGAGGGGCAAACCAGCCCTGCCAGAATAGTGATGTCTGAGGCTTGTGTGGGGCACATCTGAGCCACTTAACAGGAGGTGTGACAGTTGCAGAAGAAGAAATGATGCTGCCACTATGGAGAAATAATTGGCTAATTAGTATTTATCACATTGTTCACTGAAATTCTGAAACTGCTTCCCTCACCACCCCCTCTTTAAAATATTCCTCCTCCACAACTTCTAATTAACACAAATTAATCCTTCCATGTGCCACCCACCTCCTGAGCATATCTTTATTTTTCCAGAGCCACTTGGGTTTATTAAATGCCACTCTAACTGGAATGAGGTTGGGGTTTTTTCTGCTTCCTACAGCTTGCTTGACGGTTATTACCAATGTTAAACGAAATTGAGGACGTATTAAGTGTTTCCTTCCTGTTTTTTTCCCTGGAAGATAGAAATGGGTGAATCATGGTAGTTAGCAGTATAAAAATAACCTATCTGAGGTTTTCAGCCCCCCATTAAGGTCTGGCCACAAAAGCAGTAGATATTCTCAAATATAGATTATGCATCACCAGGGTCTGCGATGCTGCAGGTGGCATTAGGAAGCTCATGGTCTCTTGCCAGAAATCCTTACCTGTAAGGAGTAAGTGCGTGGCAGGAAATGCCCAGGAACTTAAGCAGAAACTCTCCCTCGAGGTTAAAAGGCAATCCATCCTATGGGAAAGGCAAAACCTTACTTATGCAGCATTAGCCTTCGCAGGATTGGCAAAAACACTTTAAAATCCTTCATCACTTTGCTGTTTTGTAGAGATCGCAAACTGCTTTGACCTCATATTTACTCTTGCTGAAGAAATCCCGTATGTTTAGATGCCTACTGTGCCAGGAGATTGGAGTAACTCTTGGGAGATTCTCTTCCAAAAAATGGCAGAGACAGCCTTTATAGCTCTGTCACACCGCCCTTCCCTCTCCTGCCGAAAGCGCCGGACAGAAAATGCACGTGGAAGCCCAGGGAACCTCCATCCCTCTCTCACATCACCGTTCAACTCTCCATCCTGTAGTTGTCTGCCCTTGGAGCAGCTCAGACTGATAAAGGAAAATGTTCTCTGTGACGGGGATGTGCTGCAGGTTTTAGCCCTCAGCTGGCACCTTGGGAGGAACTGCCAGGTTGTAGGAGAGCAGGCTCGAGCTGTGTTTGATTTGAATCGCTCTCCTCCTTTCTGTGCTAAATTCTCCTCTGAGGCAGCCTTTGCCACACCTTGTTTACTTGGTTTACCGCAGAAAATGCAAAGTAATTGCATGCCAACTGTTGTCTGTTCCCTCCTCTGCCTTTGAAAGCTCCCTGTTGAAGTTAGTAGTTGTAGTAGTAAGCCTGAGTAGCGTGGAGCACATCTCTGTGCCTCTGTTCTTCCCTAACAAATCATTTAATCACTTCCTTACAATAGGCACTACCTACACATGCAGACTGAAACCGTGATTCCGCTCTACAGATTAAATCCGTAGCTTCTCATCTGTCTTGGTGTAACGTCCGTTTGTCAATTCCCATTTAATTTCCCGATTCCATCCTCCATAGGCAAAGCGATTGAAGTATGCTCGGTATAAGCAAGTCTCTAGCTATTCCCTCCGCTTCAGGCTTTGCATTTGGAGAGCTTTGTCTGGACTCTGAGGGCAGTTAACTCGAGCCCTACGTAATCAGCCCTCCAGACTCATGGATTTCAAAGCGGTGATTTATTCCTGCTAAAAGACAGTGGCATCGGAGTTGCTTGGGACTCCTGTTTGACAGTGGATTTGTTTCCATAGGAACAGTCTAAAGCAGTGGGAACTTGCTCCTCTTGTAGTCATAAAAATATTTGTCTAAAAATACATCAAGCGTAAGGATTTTTAAAGGGACTTTTTAAAGTCACTAAAGCTCTTAAAGGAATATTGGCCTGCAAGAGTTTAAACTTGAAATTTCATCTTGGAGGTAACATTTTCTTCTGCCTTTTACTAGTGTTTGAATACGGCATTCCCGCTTTTGACAAACAAGGATTTTGTGTCCTGCCACTCTGAAGTGTCATTGGACATGATGAGGAAAGTAGTTTGTCAGCTCTGCTGCAAGATGAGGCTTACATTTTTCTCACTGGTATATCACCCTTCCAAAAGAAAGTGTTTTTTAAAAAAATAGATGAGCTTAACGAGATACAAATTTGGTGAGAAACTAGCCTAATCATGTATTTCTTTTCTAAATATAGCATTTCCATGTTTCTTCTTTAAAAAAAAAATCAAAGGATCAAAACACTCAAGGCTGGTGCAGGGCAAAACATTCATTACACCAGGCCATGGTCTCTTGAAATCCCATGGGTTCACACAGCGGTTTGGGGAAACCTCCCAGTGCCTCATGCTGCCGGCTGCCATGTTCCCACCTCTCCCTGGGCTGATTGTGCTGCTGGCAACACCTCCTGAGCTGCTTCAGCACAGCAACCTGGCAAAAAGTTGTCTTCCACCCCTCCTCCTACTTGAATATTTCGGGCCAGGGGCTAATAGAAACTGGAGCTGGGGCCAGGAAGCGTGGTGGAGAGCAGTAGTGGCTAGAGGCTGCCAGGGAGGCATTGCTTGGGGCACAGCAGGAGGGCTACTAATGCTTCCCATTATCTCAGGTCTTTGATCTAATTTGGATGAGTAAGAGAATAAGTTGATTTCCAGTTGGGGTACAATGGCTTGAGTCCTTGTGGGGAAGAATATGAAGAGAATTTATTAAGTAGGTTTTTCTGGAGCCTGTCTATTGGAGAAAGATTTGGAGTGAATCACAGTTTATTTGAAAGAATCTGGGAGCAACCCAAATCGCCGAGATGATTGCAGAAGGGCAGCAAGCACTGGTTAGATGTGCAGAGCAATGGGATATTTCTTTCTAGCAATATAAACATGGCGCTTGCACTCTGTGACTGCAATTCCCAGGTACTTATATATGCTTAAACCTTAAAAACATTTCTGTTGAAAGGAGTGCTCAGAGAAGTGGTGGATGCCCCATCCCTGGAAGTGTTCAAGGCCAGGCTGGATGAGGCTTGGAGCAACCTGGTTTAGTGGAAGGTGTCCCTGCCCCTGGCAGGGGGGTTGGAACTGGATGGTCTTTAAGGTCCCTTCCTACCCAAACCGTTCTGTGATTCTATGAGTGGCGTGACTGCGGACACGCAGAGTTAATGATGCCTCTTGTGAGCCAAAGAAGTACTTGTAGCTCGCATTCGAGGGTGTCTGTGAAAGCAAGCATAAACTAAAGGTTGTTAGAGCCCCCAGTTTCTTGGGAGCAGTTTTGCTGTTTCAGATAAGCAGCTTTTACTTGACAATAGTCAACCTAGTGATTTGCAGAAAAGAACCTGTACCACAACCAGACCAAGAATTATACTCAAGGTCTGGTTTGTTGTTAGTCAGCAATTGAGTTCTGGAATTCATAGCCAATTTTCACCCTAATCTTTTAGGTACCAGAATTGTTACAAGCTGTGGAACGTGTTTGATTTGAGTCTGGAGGTGTGAATTGAGATTGTTTTATAGAAAACAAAAGGTGACCCAAGTGAAGAACCCAACCAGCTTTCGCTGCATGTGTTGACTTGGTCTGACTTCCTAAATTAATTAGTGTCCGGACTGCACACTGAAACTTGGCATCTGCTGTCTGAGTGCTGTTGAGATAGGGTTTTGGAAGCAGAGATGGAACCTAATCCTTCAGTAATCTTCTGCACTTTAGTGGATCTATTTTATATCAACAGCCTTTGCTTCTGTTGAGATCCGTGTAAATCAGAAACTGGGATTATAAAATCAATTATTATGACACCGAACGTCATCCCATCTGCAGGAATTAGAGGGGTTTAATTAAAATTGTTTTCTTGGAGAGAATGAGCAAAAAGCCTCGATTCGTTTGCCTGGCAAAATGCTACATATATATAACTAGCTCAGTAACTTCTGAATTGCACCACAAATAAATTCAGGGGAAGGAGGAAGGTTGCATGCCATAAGGGAAACTTTCTGAAGACACTTGTTCTTTCCTCCAGGGCTTCAGTCTGCATGCGTGGTCTTTCGTGAAAGCACAGTTCTGTGTGCTACACAGTACAAGGAGGTGTCATTGGGAGTGCTGCTGCTTAGACTGTAATGAAAATACAATGGTGTATTTTCTGCTAGGCATGGATGCCTTTTCCTCAGCTGAGAAAAACACAACGGAGATACTAGAGCGTGTAACTAAAACAGTTCACAGTGCTTCAATTACATCACGCTGCATATTTTTTCCTAGCATCAAAAATCTTGTGTGAAAAACTTTCTGCTATACCAGTGTGCCTTTTCAACCTCGTCTTTAAAACAGCTCTCTGCAGCAGCATCTCTCTTGCCACAGTGGGCTGCCGTGTTTAAACAGCACACACACATGCTTATGGCTGCTCCAGCGCCTGGGAGTTGCAGTTGGCCTTTACATCGTTGAATGGGCACCGATGTGTTTCGCAAAGCCATTTCGTTACCCAATCCCCGTGTTATGGGAAGGGGGGAGTTGGTGGTGCGCTGGCACAGCTTCTTTGCTTTTAGTGAGATGTAAGTGTGTTCTCCTTTGAATAAATCCAGCTCAGCAAGCTCTCCCTACGCCTGGTCTATCTCCATTAGGTTTTCAGTTCTGGTTTTCTGTTGAGTCATCAAACTGCCCAGGTTTGGTTTGATGTGTTTCTCCACCGAACGTGTGCAGGAACACACATTTACTGCTAATTTTCTGTTGAAAAACAGTTCTTTGAGTTGTAGTTCTTTGAGCCAGCCCTGCATCCCCTTGCTATGCACTGTATTGATGTTTCGTGTTACTGATTTTAGTGACGTGAGGCTTTCTGTAGAAGTGTGTGGGTTAGCTGTACAGTTCTTCCTTCACCGTAGGTTTTCAAGTTCCTCTGCTGAATCTGAGGCATTTCCTTGGCATAGATACGCTCCAGGCTGTATTTCATGTTTGCACGCTCCCCTCTGCCGTTGCCTTGCTGGGTAAACACCCAAATCTAATCTCCTCTGTGCAAAATGCTTGTCAGCTGTGCCCAAGAAACACTGGAGAAGGTGTTGGGGGGCATCTGTGCTCTCTTTCCTTGTCTCCTCTCAACTGCTTTAGATGTGGTTGAGCGGAGATTTAACTGTCTTAATTCAGTGTAATGGAAATGAACTGCTGTACGTAGCACGCAGTTCAAAAGCTTTGCACAGTGTATTTTCTTCTGTCATCAATCCAGACTTGTGCAGGCAGATGGAAAAATGCCAGTAAAATTTAACTCATAAAAAGCCGGAGCGCTGCCTGACCTATACTCTTCCTCACCCCTCCGGCACGTGGCTTTAACCTCCGTGGTGCTGGCCACGTTGGGTCCCTGCAGCAGCTGCCAAGCCCGGGGTCTCCTGGGCTTGTCTCTAACCAAGGGACTGTGCAACCTTTCTGGGGCTGGGGGAGGGAGCTGGAAATCCACTAGCACGTTAAACGCCACCATTGTTCAGGAGAGGCTTGGTGGAAAAGACATATGTTTATGTAATTTATGTCTTTTTAAAAAATGATAACTTATCTGGCTTTTAATAGTTTTTGGCAAAACCTTGACAGAAACAACATTCTGACTGCCCTTGTCAGCAGGATCTGATGTACCCGCGCCAGCAGAGCTTGACCGGTGGTTTCTGTATTTCATTATTCTGTGAGGTTGAAGACCACCTCTGGCTGCCTGTGGCACTGTCGGAGTTGGAGCCTGACACCAGCCCCGGCTCCTTGCCGGCTCTGTCATCCTTGACAACAACAGCTGTGACTTGAACGTGTCGGGTAGTGTAGCAGGTTGGGGGACAGAGGCCGGAACAGGTCTAAGAGCAGATGAGAGCCCAAGTCTTTCTTCCTGCTCCTGGAAATTATTTTCTTACTTCTCACACTGGCTTCATTTTCCAGGAGTGAGAAGCTAAGCACTCCACGTTGCACAATTTACCCAGTTAAAAAGGTCAGCACACCGCTGCCTTAACACTTCATAACCTCTGATTTTTAATCTGTTGAAGTACTTTCAGTTTCCTCCAGGCTGCAGGGCTGGAGATAGAAAGATCTCATCTGCTGGTACACGGAGAGAACACTCTGAACCTAAACCTCGGGTTAGCTGTGCCCTGATGCTGCGTATTCACGCACTTTCAGTGCAGCCTTTGACTAGAGAAGTTGTTTAGAGAATTGGTGTGCTTCTGAGGCAGAAAGAACGATGAATCCTGATCTACGTGAATCTTGCCCACACGTCCAGAATCTTTCGTCTGCTTTCACAAGTTAATAGGTGCCTGTGTGATCATCGCTAGATTTCTGTCTCCCGAGATGTAATTTTTTAAAATTCTCTTTTGATTTCAGGTATCTTGGAGTTTTTTCACCACCAGCTGAAGGACATCGTCGAGTATGCAGAACTGAAGACCGTCTGCTTCCAGAATTTGCGGGAAGTGGGAAATGCTGTCCTGTTTTGCCTCCTCATCGAACAGAGTCTGGTAGGTGCCTGCTGTGTAGTCTAAACCCATCTGTCTCCCAAAATGTACTCTCAAACTCTTGTTGCTAACGTCATAAATAACAAGGTTAACATCTGCATGTTTGCTATGTTTACAGCTCCCTGCCCTGATCCCTTACAGTCTTAGAGGGGTTTTTGTGTCTGTGAGGCAGGAGGGATGCCTGCCTTCGCTGGGTGAGAGACACTGCCTCGTTGGCGATACCTGAGGATCAAATATGATGACCTTGATCATAAATTGTGATCAAATATCATATTCCTGCAGTCAGTCACAGCGTGGTCACTCTATTTAATGAGTTGTGTTCTGGTATTGTTATTTCCTTCCCTGCTTGTCATTCCTGTGTCATCTGAAACATCACAAAGTTAACGTGGACTTCTTGGACATCATCCTGGCTGCTAGGGTGGCAGATAGTGGCATCTGCTCTGCCAGGCACTCGTCTGTCTTAGCTTGAATGAAGCTGTGAAAGATGTCCAGTCTTTCAGCTGCTTCCTGGATGCCTGGCTGATACCTTATAGCACATGAAGCTGCTGAGAGCATGGTGCTACAACTGCTCTTCATCCCTACCTCTCGTTTTCTTTTTCCCCCTACTTTTCCACATTGTTGTTACCTGTTGTCCAGACCTGTAATTAGTCTTCATGCTTTTGGGTGCTCACAGAGGGAAAGGTGGGCATTGCTTACCAACCAGAAAAGCAGCAAGTGTGCTGTCTTCTCTTTCTTCATCCACGTTGTGCTTTCGAGACTTGGGTGGGGAGTCCCTCCCCTGCCTGTGTGTACAGGACGCTCTGCCCACGCTGTGTGAGCACACGGTGCTGCTGAGCTGGGCTGCCCGTCACATCGAGATCTTTGCTGACTGCAAACCAGCTACGTTGTTTCCTCAACAAACTGACTGAGGGCCTGCTGCTGTGCAAGAGTAAATCCTCACATACGAGTCCTTCGCTAGGGTGTATTGCAGCTGTTGACGTTAAGGTAATGAAGACGTGCTGTTCCTCAGAGTCCTGTTCATGGTGTTAGAGGATTCTTCCCTCATGGTGGCGAGCAGTGGGACAGGTGACAAGCAGCAAACCTGTATTCAGTAATGGGGTAGCTGAAACAAAACAAACAACTGGGTTACTTTGGATTCAGGCTAACAGGGTACGTGGTGAAAGGCCAGGCAGGCAAAGGCCCTCACTACTTGAGGGTGTACCAAAGCGGCACCAGCGCTGGAAGTACCTTCTTTGGGATGCTGCCTTGGGGACACTTTATAGCAGTTCTCCCCCACTTGCCTGCCCCTCCTCTTGTTTTTGCTCTTGGTTCTGTCCCGGTGCCCTGTCACACATTTCGGTGTTTTTTTCCATTGTGGCCATCTGTCATAACTGAACTAGGCCTCACCCTGCTGTGAAACGTAGGCCTGCAGTGGATCTCTGCTAGTCTTGTCAACCTTGGCTGCCCAGCGCATGCGTTTCACGGTGTCGACACCAAGGACAGAGCTGGGAAAGGCACGTGAGACCTGGGACAGGCATGTGAGCCCCAGGACCCTGGCCTTGCCGAGGGTGCGGCTGAGAAACATCTAGTACTAGTGCTGAGGGATTACAGGTGAGCAGGGCCTCTGCTCCAAAACTGAAGTGGGGCACAGCAGTGCCATGCATCTGCTTCTGGTCACCTCTGCATCTTCTCCGCACGTACGGCAGCCAAGAACTGGGAGACGTCTGTCTTCCTTCCTCCCGTCCCTAAAGATGTGAAGTACTTCCTGGGAGGTGGTTCACCACTGCTGTCCCATGTCTCAGCCTGCCTGGCGGGGAGATGTGCCCGCCAGGCTGGATGACAGGTGGTGGGAATAGCACTGGTAAAAATAACCCAGCAGTGAGTCATACGCCTTCACCCCTCTGTCTGTGCGGGAGCAGTCTGCCGCTCTTGCACCGAAATCGCTCCTCCTGCATTAGTCTTTTTAATAAATGCCCTGTCCTTTCCGAACTGCCAGCTGAGGGTGGGATGAGAGCTGCTGGAGTTTATTTGGGACCCTAAGGTAACCTGGTGAAATCAAATCGTCTTCAGGAGCAATCCTGTGAGGAGAGCGAGGGCTCGAAGCGGCTCCGGCAGTGGGGGCTGGCTGCCCTCTGGTGTTTCTGTGACGGGTTGCTGTGCTTCTGGAAGCCTGGTTTGGGGATCTGGTGTGGTTTGGGGATTCTTCAGTCCTAAGTGCCTCTTGTTTCCTTTTCGTTCCAGTCCCTAGAGGAGGTGTGTGACCTGTTGCATGCGGCGCCGTTCCAGAATATCCTGCCCCGAGTTCACGTCAAAGGTACCGGCTAGGTGAAAACCCCTTCCTCGGGTAACGCTTTCCACTTGTCTCTCTTACTGCTGCGGTTTCTGTGACCGTCCCTGGTCAGCCTTCACAACACCCCTGTTAATTACAGGACAGGGGTAACGGATTCAGGCCGGTTTGCCTGTCTGAGACATAGGCGCTTGTTAGCGAGGCTCCATGCAAATTATTAGTGGAGGAGAACTACTGTGACAGGGAGAAGCAGGAGGGATACCCAGGGCTTTATAACCCCTTGCTGTGCGTGCAATGAGAGGCTTTTCCGAAGGGATTGTTCAGCTTACGTGGTTGTCAATTAGATGGGGTAGGCTTGGTCATACAGGGGAAGAAAGCCTGGCAGCAGAGTAAGTAAATACAGGCGGGCCCTGGTCCCAGTAGACTTTTCACAGACCTTTTTACTAAGCTGGGCACGCAGGGGCGAATGTTTGCAGGATTGCTTCCTTTGCCATCTGCTTTCCTCACCTTCACCACCAAGAAGTGAGCTTTTGTTTCCCTTTCACGCTTCCCTTCTTTCTGCATTGCTCCTGTCTCTTTACTTTCCGTCCCTCGCTGCCAATCACCTGGAATTTTCTGCTCAGAGAAATCCCATCAGCTAAAACTCTTTATTTCCAGACTGACTGTAGCTACTTGCATCTCTGTGTAAAACTAAGCAGGCCACTGCCAACTGTATTTCCCATTTCCCGGAGAGCATTTGCCTACCTGCGGTGATGAGGGGGTGCCAACTGCTTTTTTTAAGCCTTGCTATATACAAGATTCCACCCTCACTATACCCCACCTTCGAAAGTCAAGCATTTTATGTATGATAAGGACAATTCCATTGGCTTAGTACAAGTGGGAGCCAAGTACGTTGGCAGCAGCAGCATAATGCAGCCTTACCTTTGGTCTTCAATTCAGTTAATGAAGTGTATTCTACTACAAATCCTCCATTTCTTTTTGGTTGCACACACAATGCAACATTTAAAAATATGATTTTTCTAAATGCACACTGAAGATTAACCAACTATGTAGACCTAGAAAAATAATGTACCCAGTTTTCTACTGCACTGAGTAGAGATTGTGTAAAAATAAGAATTTGTTAATTGATTTCAGTTTATAAAATTAAGTCAGCTACCAATTCAGTGAATCAGTCCTCTTTTTTTTTTTTCTTTTCAGAGGGTGAAAGACTCGACGCTAAAATGAAGAGACTAGAATCAAAATATGCTCCCTTACATTTGGTTCCTCTCATTGAAAGACTAGGAACACCCCAGGTAATCTCTCTCGTCCTGTCGGAGGCAATTCGAGACACCTCTGAGCACTAGCCTGTTCTTTCACACGTGCCCATGGCTGTGTCAGAACTTCAACCTGCACATCCAGCTTGTTCACACAACGGGATCTTATTTTCAGATCTATGGATTTGGTAAAGCTGTTAAAGCTCAGAAGTTGAAAACATGTGGGACCTGGGGGAAAGTGACATGTTTTGGGGAAGATGCTGATTTGTACGTACATGGCTATTCAATAGCTTCTCGGTACAGAGGCCACCCTGGGAGGTCCGACTGCAGATTCCACCAAAACCAATCAGTTTTCTTGTGCATGTATATGTATGTATTTTAAAACAAATTATACCTCTCTCAGCCAGGTGATTAGAAACTTCTGGAAAATGAGCTGAGTTGAGCTTTCCTGGCAACACAGCGACCAAAGAGAATGTTCTTGAACTGCCTTTGCAGCTTCAGCACTGTAATGCGAGCGTTGCATTAATTCCCTGCTAACCTTTGCAGTTCACAAGCGACTGAGATGTGAACAGCAGAAACCAAGAGCAGAGTGCCCTGAAGCAGACTTCAGACTGCTTTTATCGTACATGCTGCAGCTCGGCAGGTGCCGCTGCCCTGTAGGGGAGAGCTCTCCATGTGATGGCAGAAGCTGGACAAGCCGCAACGGGTGTTGCCATCCCTAAGTTTTGTCTGAGCTGGTTTGTGCTGTCTTCGGAGCTTCCCCTTCTCCGTTAGCCATGGCTGGGAGATAGGCAGGGGAGCGCAGGCAGGAGCTCCTGCCCATGCCAGCAGCAGAGCGCTGAACTCTGGTTTTGTTTTCTGCCTCCACTCAGGCAAAGAATCCTTTGCACTTCCCTGGGACTAGGCCAGGATTAGCACCACCGTGGGCAGCGTTACTTACCATCAAACCTGTCTGCCTGAAAAGGCTGTTATGGTTTTCTCTGAATGGTTTTCCCGCTGAACTGACTCCCAGGGTAGTGGCCTCTCCCCTCGTTTGGTCAGGAGATATTTCTCCTAGAATAAGCCAAGTGAAACTGAAAAACATGGTGTTGTGGTGGGTTTTTTTAAATAAAACTTGTGGTCAAGTGTCTCTTACCCGGCTTTTGCACTTTCTCTCTCTCCACCTCAGCAAATAGCAATCGCAAGGGAAGGCGACTTGCTGACCAAGGAACGCCTCTGCTGCGGCCTGTCCATGTTTGAGGTTATCCTGACGAGGATCCGCTCCTTCCTGGATGATCCCATCTGGCGTGGGCCCCTGCCCAGCAACGGGGTGATGCACGTGGACGAGTGTGTGGAATTCCACCGCCTCTGGAGCGCGATGCAGTTTGTCTACTGCATCCCTGTGGGAACGCACGAGTTCACTGTGGAGTATGTACTGCCAGCTGCCTGCCGTCCACCAGTGGGCAACAGGCCTTTGCTTGTCCTTCCCCCCACTGGCAGGGGGGCCCAGACTGGAGGCGCTTGTTTGCCGGTCTGCAGGAGCTCAGTGCGAAAACAGGGGAGGGTGCTGCCATCGCCGGGAGGGCTCATCATCCATGAACACAGAGGTTATTGTATCTTTAAGGAAAATAACCCTCTACTTTAAGTGTTCAGTGAATGATGCCATGACAAGCAGGCCCTAGCACATGTCTTCCTGCAGTCGTCGGACCCCTACGGATGCTGTTCAGCACTTCAATTATTTAGAATCACAGACTGGTTTGGGTGGAAGGGACGTTAAAGATCATCTAGTTCCAACCCCCCTGCCATGGGCAGGGACACCTTCCACTAGACCAGGTTGCTCAAAGCCTCATCCAGCCTGGCCTTGAACACTTCCAGGGATGGGGCATCCACAGCTTCTCTGGGCAACCTGTTCCAGTGCTTCACCACTCTCTCCGGGAAGAATTTTTTCCTGATATCCAATCTAAATCTCCCCACTTTCAATTTAAGCCTGCAGCAAGTATCTTCCTTGAAATAAGAGCAAGAACGAGCACTTGGAAGATAACATGATTAACATGAGTTAACTGGGAACTGTTGTTCCTGGTTTTATTAATTCTGAGAATCTCCTTATTTTGAAAAACAGTTGAGCTGTAGCGTGCTTGTCACTGAGCAGTTACAGAGGCAAAAGCACACGACGTCTGCAGCCTGAAGGAGCAGAGTGGTGTAGAATTCCTGATACTTCTTTGAAAGGGTTGTTTCCTTTGAAAAGGAAACTTAATGCCACTGGAGCCCAGCGGGGGAGTAAATGTTTTTGGAGTAAATCTACGTTATGTAAAATGGGTGGAGGGCTTCTGCTTGTGTTTTTTTTGTTAAACATCCATTTACATTGCTTGTGGAAAGACAACTTAATTTACTAGGGATTCTGCAGTATTTTCTAGATTAGTGACTAACATAATCCAGAGCGATATAGATGCATTTTAGTGTAACGGCTGGCTACTGAGCGTTTCCTCTGGGTGTGTTTCGAAGGCCGAGGCCAAACGTGCTTTACGCGGTGTGTTTCCCTTCTCAGACAGTGCTTCGGCGACGGCTTGCACTGGGCTGGCTGCATGATCATCGTCCTTTTGGGCCAGCAGCGTCGCTTTGACGTGTTGGATTTCTGCTACCACCTGCTGAAAGTCCAAAAGCACGACGGCAAAGACGAGGTTATAAAGAACGTGGTGAGTTGAAAACGTCTGTTCTCCATTCACTGTATGAAGTCAGAGCTGTTCGTGCTCGAACGCAGCGTTGATGTAGCAATCGCTTTTTGGGATGGGATGTTGAGAATGAGGGCAGCAGGGGTTTTGGGAACAAGAGCTGAAGGCATTAGTCCTGGAGTTTGAAGTACTGGAGTTCAGCCTGGAGAAGAGAAGGCTCCAGGGAGACCTTATAGCACCTTCCAGTACCTGAAGGGGCCTACAGGGAAGCTGGGGGGGACTTTTTGCAAGGGCCTGTAGTGACAGGACAGGGGGTAATGGGTTTAAATTGAAAGCAGGGAGATTTAGGTTAGGTTTTAGGAAAAGATTCTTTACTGTGAGGGTAGTGAGGCACTGGCACAGGTTGCCCAGAGAAGCTGTGGATGCCCCATCCCTGGAAGTGTTCAAGGCCAGGCTGGATGAGGCTTTGAGCAACCTGGTCTAGTGGAAGGTGTCCCTGCCCATGGCAGGGGGGTTGGAACTAGATGGTCTTTAAGGTCCCTTCCAACCCAAACCATCCTGTGATTTTATGATTCTAATAATAGTCTGTGAGAATTCTCGTTTCCTGAATATCGGGGATTTTCTTAACGCTTTCCATCTCTCATATGTGCATTCGGATTATGATGTGGCTGCTGTAACTTGCCCTCTTTTGTACAAAAAAGCAGCACTGTCAAAAATAAAAATGTACCCTGGATTTTCACTGGATTTACAGGGAAACATTCCTAACATTGCTGGGAGAAGTGAGGTAACAGCATTTACTGCTTTTTGTGCCCAAAGCTTTTTCTCTCCAAAGCCTATTTCCCGTGTGTCCATGGGGTTTTTTTGATGTTTGCAGCCTTTGAAGAAAATGGTCGAGCGAATTCGCAAGTTCCAGATTCTGAATGATGAAATAATTGCTATTTTGGACAAGTATTTGAAGTCTGGCGATGGAGAGAGCACACCCGTGGAACACGTGCGCTGCTTCCAGCCACCTATTCATCAGTCCCTTGCCAGCAACTAGACCGCCCACCCGAGGATACTTTTTGCACCTGTTTAGGGGAAACGTATGAAAACGGAAAACGAAAAAAACCCCACCCAAACCACACCAACACTTTTAAGGAACACGCTGATCTGCATTTTTCAGTATGTCTGTGCCGCTCCAGGGGTGCACTGTCCTCTTCAGTCTCCAAGCACAGTAACTGTATACAATCTAAACTTATTTTTCTAGACTAAAATTTTATATACTTTGATTAAAAACCTGTGACTGTAAAAGATTTTTTTTTTTTAAATCTCTTTGCATTCCTATACTGAGGTGGCCGTTTTGGACTGGACTGGTATAATTTTGCCCCAGGCTATCAACATAATAGCTCTGGGGGGTAAAAAACTGGGTTCTGTAGAAAAAAAAATAACTTAGAAATCAGTTCCTAATTGTTTGTATTAGAGCATTAATTGCCTAATTAGCCTTTATTAAAAAAAGAAAAAAAACAACCAACAAACTCTGCTGGTGCTTTGTGAATAATGTTTCTAGTCAGTTGATTATTGTTCCTCTTCGTAAAATTATTCTCTGAGATCACCAATTATGGAAATGAAGGCTAATTAAGTTGATTGTTTCAGGGTTATTTAACATGGGGGTGACTGACAGCACTCTGAACGAGGACTGTTTGCTCTCTCCTAATGAGAGCTTCCAACACCAGTGACATCTTGGTTGGTGATGCATACCTGTGCACCAAAATACTTGTTTACAAGAATCTTGACTACAGGATCAGGTGTAACTTGTCTCACTACGTAAGCTCTAACGGTGTTAATCACAATTTACTCCTGGCAAGTATTTCTCAGTTAGAATCACAGACTGGTTTGGGTTGGAAGGGACCTTAAAGACCATCCAGTTCCAACCCCTCTGCCATGGGCAGGGACACCTTCCACTAGACCAGGTTACTTACTCTACTATGCAAACTCTGCATCAGTAAAACTTTGCAACTGTAAAACTTGAATTTTCAAGCAGCCTGTTTAGCCAAAAAGTAGCAATTCCTGCTTGCTTACTGCAGGATCCTAATGGGGCTTTTTGGCTGGCTGCTAGGATCAGCCCAAAACAAACGGGAGTTAAGAGGACTGGAACAGATGGATAATCACACATTTTGCCCAGGATATGGATTTCTGGAGATGTTATTCAGTTAACATTTCTAACCCACAGCGTGCATTCATTTGACAACCTGTTTTTCTCCCTTCCCTCTTACTAGTTGAAGGTCAGGTTACAGCATGCCTGTTCTGCTCAGCTCTTTCCAGGTGTTTCACAGCCACGGCATCGAGCCCAGTGGTGGGTAGGAATGAGCGTCTGACAGAGGAGGTATGCAGGGGCTGAGCAGTGCGTAGGTAGGGGGGTGGCAGAGAACTGGATTTTGAGGGAAGAAATTAACTTAACTGAAATTCCACAGCAAAACAGAGGCTAGACTTGCCAGGTAAGCTGTAAGCAAATTTCCAATCGCAGAGGTTTTCCCAGGGCACTGCTGCTTGGGAGCTGCCCTTTGGGAGCGACAGGGCACACACGGCTGCCCACTGTGGGGGAGGCTGAGGTGGGAGATGCTTGTGATGTGTCACACCAGCTTGGTGCAGGATTTCTTTTACAAGGTGCTTAATGCAGTTTTCCTCCAGAAACATTTCTTTTTAGCTCTCAGAAGAATTTCTAGGCAACCAAGTGCTTCCCAGTGCTCCACACTTCAATTAAGGAAATGAACCTATTCCTTATAACTGCTGGTTTAGGGGTAAGTCTCACACACCTGAGGCTTTGGCTTGACACTGCAGAAATGGGTAATTGATAAAGGCCAATTTTTTTTTTTTTAAGAAATATTTAAAACTAATCACAGTATGAGATAAATTCTAATTCTTCCCACTTAACTGGCAGCAGTAAGAGAATTGGTCTCCTAACATCTTCAAACTACTAGTGTTAATAGACTTGAAGATTTTTTTCCCCTTCAGTTAGTAAGGGTTTAAAGAATTCAGACATCAGTCCTACGCAATGTTTGTGTCACGTGCTCGAAAGCAGCTTACTATTTTTTCATTTTCAGTAGGATATTAGATTTTGAGTTAAAACCCCTTCACCTGGTACACCTGCTTCTCCTACCCGGAAGGACATGTCAAGCAAGGTGCACAAAAACGGGTAACTTCTTCGTTTTAAATCCTCTCTCATCAAAACCAGCGGGGCTGGAGGCCTAAGCGCCTATCACAACATGAAGCGATAGATTCCAGCGCGTGAAACTGTAACCTGCTCTTGGGTTAGCCTGGTGCTTCGGCCCGCAGAGCAGCAACCCAGAGCTCGGTGACCCCTCGGCAGTTTGACTTCTCCCCTGTTGCTCCCGGCTGTGCTGGTGGTTGTGTAAGTGATGGAGGGCTGTGGTTCCCAGGCTGAGCGCTGCTGACGTGGCGTCCCTTAAAATCAGGTAGGAGTTCAAATCCCGTTCTTCAAGTAGAACGTGAAGAACCTTTTTCTTGGTTGACACCTCAGCCCCTCCTGCACATATGACATGTTCCAAAGGAAGGTGGTGGAGTTAGCTTTCCAGGTGGGAGCTGTTTGGGTTTTTTTCTTGTCCTAGTAATGACCTTAAACCATACTCTTTTAACAGTAAGCAGAAAAACTGGCTCATTACAGCAGTAACTGGTTGTCTCTGTCCCAAATAATTTTTAAGCTTCACATCCACAGTAGAAACGTTGTTACAAAAATACCACTAATGTTTATTTTCTGCCTTTGTGAACTTTAAAAAACTACCACCTACCTTCTCCACCCCTTTTTAAGCAAGGAGACTATGTTCTGCTTTTTCCCCAGACGTGCAGCATCGCAGCCAGTAGCTGTGTTACTGCAACCAAATTGCAGTTCTGCACATTGCAACATCAGAAATATGGAGCAGCTCCACAGAGCCGGGGCAGTGTGGTCTTGCAAACCTCCTCCACAGACAAGGGAGTAGCTTTTTTTGGTAATGACTGTCAACAAACAAAATCCTTCCTCCTGCATAAGCTGCTGCAGCTGCCACCTCACCCAGCTGAGCCGAAGCTCCTGCCTTGCTGCCAGAGGGCCCCTGAGTGGGTAACAGTGGGTTGTTTTGATGGAGATGCTGGAAGTTCAGCGCATGGCTTGAGCTAAGCAGTATTTTCAGAGCATTTAGTCTCGCTTGGTTTTAGCTTTTCCTTTCCTCTTTTACAAGCTGGGACAAGGGTACTTCCTGCCGCTCTGAGTTCAGCACGTTGGCAGTCGCTGGGTGTTCAGTCCAGGCACAAGTACAAAGGATCTAGGTTCACCCCAGTCTTTTTACCACCAATGCGGAAATAAAGCCATTTATTTTTGATAAAACTGTTGTTAGTGCAATACATCTTAAAACAGAAGAATGAAATGAAAGTATTTACACATAACTTAATCAACAAAACCCACTGTGGTCTGAGGTCATTTTAGTAATTTTTAAAGTAAAAATAAGGCAAATAAAAACCCCCATTAGTGTTCTTTATCCAAACTAATCCAACCTAACAATTAACGATTGTCCACATATACTGTTAAAGAAGTACATGATTTTCCAGACAAGCTCAGACATTTCACAGCAGAAAAAAAAATTCCAGAGTTACAGAATTGTTCTTTTCTTAAGTAACGTGTAGCAATTTTCAGAAGGCTGACAGACTGCCATTTCTCCTGGCTGAGAGACTCTCGGGGGACTGTATTTCACCTACACAGGTAGAACTCTCTTCATCGTGATTAAAGCAGTCATACGTGCTCAGCAAAGTACCATTTGCTGCTCTGTCATCTTTCCGCAGTGAGAGGGGCAGATTTGCTAGGGTGAAGTTAACATCTTTGAAGGCATGCAATAAAAAGATCCCCACGATGATAGTGAGGAAGCCACTGAAGGTGCCAATAATGTCGTCGGCTGCCATGTGTTGCCACTCCTTGAAGAGGATGGCAGAGCAGGTTAAAACAGATGTCGTGAAGATCACGTAATATATGGGAGTCACTATCGACGTGTTGAATATATCCAGAGCCCTGTTTAAGTAGTTGATCTGCGTGCTCACGCAGACAATAAGGCTTACCAGCAGACTCCAAGACAAGGGATGTTGCAGCACTGGTTTTCCTGCAAAAAGTTCCTTTATAGCGATGCCCAAACCTTTTACGCAGGAGACTGATAACGCTCCAATCACAGAGCAGATTGTTATGTACACGAGAATGTTGGTCTGTCCATGGCGAGGTCCCACCACAAATATCAGAATTAAAGACACAATGACAACGAGAGTTGCAAAAACCACAAAACCTGTGGTTGGGGAAAAAGAGATCTTGTTATTAATGTACGCTGTCAAAAGCATCTTTGAGGTACTGAGAAAACACACATTAACAATGCTCAGCCTAGAGGAGTTTGGGAAGTTTCTTGTTACTCCTCCAGCATCCAAGTTAAAATGATTTTAGAGTGAGGCAGTTAAAGCAGAGAAGGAAACCCCGGGATGTTGCGTTACCAGAGGATTACGTTGCTACACTGCTGTACCCGCAGACTTGCCAACGTGTAGGTGCCACCAGATACAGGCTGCTGTCTGAACGCTGCTCAGGGAGGTATGTTTTGGAGGGTGGCTACATTCACTGGCAGACTTCCAAGAATCAGGTCATTCCTTAAGACCAGCTTTTTAATCTCTGGGCTAGCTCTTTCCTCATGTTGAAAATGGGAATTGTCTTCACATATACAAACACACATCTGCAAAATTCTGCCCACGTAAGCAGAGGAGCTAGTCTCCAGGATTATGCTTCTCAGCGGACACCTACCCCAGCACCTACTTTTTCATTTTAAGGATAACTCTATGTAGGGCTTAGAGACACACTTCAATTAAGATTTACACAAGTTGTGTTTATCCAACTGTGCTGTGGCATTTGTTTAAACTGTCATGTCTGGTTCATGTCAAGACACCATGTTTAAGGCCAGACAGTTTCACCAGCATCCTGCAAAGCTCCCTATGGAATTGTGTCACAGAACTGAAACCTCTGCTTCATTTGGACAACATGAAGCAGATATGGGCTATCTTCCCAGAACTTGAAAGCAGCAGTAATGAAACCATAATAAAGAAGTGACAGGCTGCTTACACATGAAGCCAGCTTTTTTCTTACCTGGATCACCTAGTTTGTGAGACATTTCATTCAAAGTTTCTACCTCCTCCTCTTGTGGCGCGTGAATTACCATCACAGTTGATCCCAGTATACTCAGCAAACACCCTATTTTTCCATGAAGATTAAGTTTTTCATTTAAGAAAAAAGATGACAAAATGGCACTAAGAAGAGGAGGGGAAAAAACAAAAGCACCAGCAAACATGGAGTTAGTAATAACTCATTCACTTCCTCATCAACTTTCAGGTTGCTTTGACTACACGTCACTT